TCAAGGATTTGATGTTGACCAATCGGAAGTAAACGATCATTCTAATCCTGACGGAGATTCACTTAAAGTTCGGCCTGTCATGGATGCCTAACGAAGACGTGTTCGCTTGGTCGTGAACTCGACCACCCCCAGCGTTCCTACCAACGCTCAATTCTTTCATTTATCGCGAGGCTTTACGACCCTCTCGGATGGGCCGCTCCCGTCGTGATCGTGGCAAAATAATACTTCAAGAGCTGTGGTTGTTACATTGCGAATGGGACTCTCTCATCTCCGATGAGTTAACGTCCCGTTGGAATTATTTTGTATCAGAATTTCACAAATTAGAAATGATCAAAATTCCACGGTGGACTGGTCAAGGTCCACAAACTCTCGCGCTAGAGATACACGGTTTCGCTGACGCGTCAAATCGAGCTTATGCCGCCGTCGTATATCTTCGCGTCTATCATTCGCTTTCAGACTTCGCAAAAAATTTAATCGCAGCAAAAACAAAGGTCGCGCCCGTGAAAACCGTGAGCATCCCGCGTCTAGAGTTAAACGCGGTAGTGTTATTGAGTCGCCTCGTAAAGTGGACTGTTAATTTCGTTGCAGTTAGTTGGAACTCCGATCCATTGTTGGACGGATTCCACGATAGCTCTGGCGTGGTTGCGCCAGCACCCATCAAAGTGGAACACATACGTGGCCAACCGCGTGGCTGAAATACAGAACAATTTGCCATCTACTCGGTGGAGTCACGTACCATCGGCAGAGAACCCGGCGGATTGTGCGTCGCGCGGGCTATCCGCGTCTGAGTTAGTGTCGCATTCGCTATGGTGGACGGGACCACCATGGCTTCGGCAACCTTCAACGGCTTGGCCGATTCATGATATGACGAATACTAGACCCACTAATGAACTACAGCAAGTTTCAGCTGAACTGCGAAAAACCAAAGTTCTTCACATTGAAGGTGAAGAAGAGTGGGATCTACTTTACAAATTTTCAAGTTGGACGAAGCTCGTCCGAGTGACGGCTTACGTCCACAGGTTTCTCGCCTTACTGCGGAAGGAAAAGGTTCGTAAATTAAAAAAGATTCGACACTGAGCGTCGACGAGCTTAAACGGGCCGAGCAATTCTGGCTGTCTTATGTCCAGCGGAGAGCTTTCAAGGTCGAATTCAAAACTTTGCAAAAGACTGCCACGATTTCAAAAAAGAGTTCCCTTCGAACTTTTGCTCCATTCTTAGGAAAAGATTCGGTACTCCGGCTTGGCGGGCGGTTGCGACACTCCGCTCTTAGCTACGATGAGCAACATCCCGTAATCGTGCCGCGCGGACAACTCGCTTACCTTCTAATCGCTCAAGCTCATAAGAGTACACTCCACGGTGGAGTTCAAATCGTGCTGCGCACCCTTCGTCAGAATTATTGGTTAATGGGAGGGCGAAACTCCGTCAAGGGATATATAAGACAATGCATCCCTTGCGTACGTCACTCGGCTAAACTTTCGAGCCAATTCATGGGAGACCTCCCGTCTCCACGCGTCAATCCGTCGTCTCCATTTGCTCATACGGGAGTGGATTATGCTGGCCCTTTCTTAGTCACGCCGTTCGTTGGCAGAGGCCAAAAAACCAGAAAAAATTATATAGCTTTGTTCATCTGCCTCGTCACGAAAGCAATCCACGTAGAGCTAGTCGAAGACTACTCTAGCGCTGGGTTCCTCGCCGCCTTTCGGCGATTTGTGAGCCGAAGGGGCTTGCCGTCCAAGCTATATAGCGATAATGGAACGAACTTCCACGGGGCTGACAAGGAATTGAACGACGCGTTCAGCGCCTTGATGAAGGATTCGTCACTGCACGACATCCTTGCAAATGACAAAATTGAATGGAACTTCATTCCGTCTGCGGCTCCTCACTTCGGTGGGCTATGGGAGGCGGGAATCAAAAGTCTCAAGTCGCACTTAAAACGAGTCGCCGGTTCGCGAACTCTGTCACAGGCCGAATTCGCGACGTTATTATGCCAAATCGAGGCGTGCTTAAATTCTCGTCCGATCGCGGCATTAAGCGACGATCCGAGTGACCTATCGGCACTCACTCCGGGTCATTTCCTGATCGGGCGCCCCATAATTGCGATACCGGAGGAGTCAGTGCTCGAAAGTAATGCGAATCGACTATCGCGATGGCAGATGGTCCATTCTTTAGTCGAACAGATTTGGCGCTCGTGGTCACAAGACTACTTGCACTCCCTGCAGCAGCGGCGTAAGTGGTCGGAAAAAACGTCTTGTTTTCGCATAGGAGAACTCGCCTTGTTGAAGAATCCCTTGCTCCCTCCGAGCAAGTGGAACCTAGCGCGAGTCACGCAGATTCATCCCGGCTCGGATGGACTCGTGCGAGTAGTTACGGTGAGAACTGCGAGCTCGATCCTGAAACGACCAATTACGCTACTGTGCCGGCTGCCAATCAATAGCAATATTTGAAAATTGTACTTGCGTTAAACTTAGATTGTAATTATTTGATAAATTTCGGGTGTGATTTATGTATTTAGCGTCAAAATCTACTATGTTAGGCAATATTCTCCTCTTCGGCGTGGTTTTCGAGCCAGGTATCGCATTTATGACTTTGTTATTCGACCCATCGCATTGTCGGTAGAATTTCGAAACATGTATAATTGTATTTGCGTGCTCGAACAGCCGAAAGAGGCGAATATTTGCTAAGGCTCAGTGCCTATTGAAAATTGAGAGCGTCTTTATAATTTAGAAATATTTACTCGAAAATTGTAAAAGGTTTTTTCACCTTCTGATTACTTGCCCTCGTTATTCGATCGCAAGGAATTATTGCATTGATCTCTTGTTTGATTTCTTGGTTGATTGAAAATTGATTTATTGTCTTCATCGTACGTTGAAGACTACCGTTGGCTATATTTCGCATATTCGCATACGTTCAAATGCGAGGCGGGCGGTATGTTTAAAATTGTCACGTATTTTCGGAGCGACGAAGCAAGGTTAATCGTAGAAATTGAAAATATTCGACGCCGAGATGTTATTCCGGTTGTTTTCGATTCCGCGAGCGAGGAATCTACAAAAACTCGCCTTTGTCTCGCGTTTCGGAGCGTGATGGGGCAATCGTCCGCGAATAGGATTTCAGCACGTGTGCCACGCGTCGATCGGATGATCGATCGCCCCTTAGCTGCCGAATTCCGCGAGGATCAAAAATGAGTCTACTCGAGGAGTCTGAACTGAAGAGACGTCTCCGTGTATATCAGCGAAAAGAGCATCGCGCGAATTTATCTCGTTCTAGAGCGAACTTCCGCGTTTTAATCTTGTCTGCGAGAGTTTTGAATAAAACTGCTTTGCCTCAAAAGTGAATTTCTCCACCTTTACAATTTTCTCCGCATCCAGTCTCCTTCGTATCTACGAGCCGACTTATAAATAAATAAATTTGCCTCTGCGCGGAAAATTAAAACAAATCGAAGGTTCTCGCACAACTTGTGAACACATGAACATCGACATTTCGAACGCACATTGCGGTCCACGGATACAATTCCCGGACCACGCCTGGCTGAGAGTCGTTTTAGTACCCCTAAACTGCTTGCGCCCGAAAAGCGCGCACGGCCACGACGCGGGCGACCAGAGAATGGCGCGCGCGTCGCCTGTGCTCTGTGCAACGCTTACAATGGGCGTACGAGCGATCGTTGGACGTTCGCCCGAGGTGTCTGTGCCGCGCCGACCAGCCGCGGCGCAAATCCTTGCGTCGTCTGAAATGACACACCGAAATAATAATGAGAAAGAGAAGCGCACAAGCGTGTAAAACGTTGGCGAACGCGCGCCCAGAGAATGCTGCGCGAATTAAGAGGGGGAGCGTGTTTGTGTATCCAAGTCGTGTGTGTACGCGAGAGCCGAGGAGAAATGGGATGAGAGTAAGAGCGCGCGCGAAGGGAGCAACAAACGGCCAAAAAAAGGGTCAGGGCGGTGAATGGCACCGCTTTCCCTAGAGCGGCGCGTGCGTCGTTGTCTCCCGAAAGTAGGTAGCGCATGTCTCACCGTCTCTCCTCTCCGTACATCACACAGACTGACCGACTGCTCTCGCACTCTGTGCCGCGTCTCTCGGTGCGATAGCGCTCGCGCGTCTTATGCCGAGGCGCCCTTGCCCGCACACATAACGGTATTACGGAGAAATATACGGCGCGTCGTCGTCCGGCGGAGAGAGCATTCGTAATCCTTTACCTCTTTACGGAGAAGGGTTTTGAATCGCGAGCCGACCGCGTGTCCGAGTCCACGAAATTTTCGTAAAGCAAAAAAAAAGGACCGGCGCGCCGCGTCGTGTACTCGTCGAATCGATTCCGCCCGAATTTCGTATATAAAAGAGAAAGGAGAGCCGAGAATTTCGAACCCCGCGATATATCGTCTCCATTACCACCAACGAGTGTGTGTGCGGTTAGCGCCCCGGCGATTTGCCTTCTCGCGTATTTCGTGTGCTGCCGCTGCTGCTCTCTCGTCGACGCTCTCTCTCTCTCCCTCTTATATATTATAGAGGAGAGACGACGATGAGCGACGCGGAGGAGGCAAACGGCTACGAAAACTCACTATGCGACGACCTCAGAGCAGGCGAGATTACCCGCTGAATTTAAGCATATTATTAAGCGGAGGAAAAGAAACTGACCAGGATTTCCTTAGTAGCGGCGAGCGAACAGGAAAGAGCCCAGCACCGAATCCCGCGGTTCCGCCGCAGGGAAATGTGGTGTTCGAAAGGATCCGCTTATCCCGAGGTGCCGCGTCGCGTCCAAGTCCATCTTGAATGGGGCCACTTACCCGTAGAGGGTGCCAGGCCCGTAGCGACCGGTGCGCGCCTCGGGAGAATCTCTCCTTAGAATCGGGTTGCTTGAGAGTGCAGCTCTAAGTGGGTGGTAAACTCCATCTAAGGCTAAATACGACCACGAGACCGATAGCGAACAAGTACCGTGAGGGAAAGTTGAAAAGAACTTTGAAAAGAGAGTTCAAGAGTACGTGAAACCGTTCAGGGGTAAACCTAAGAAACCCAAAAGATCGAACGGGGAGATTCATCGTCAGCGGCGCTGGCTTCGCGTCGGTCGGCGATGTCCCGCGGAGTCCGTGCAAATCGATCGTCGGAACTGGGTATAGGGGCGAAAGACTAATTGAACCATCTAGTAGCTGGTTCCCTCCGAAGTTTCCCTTAGGATAGCTGGCACTCGGCCGTTCCGCACGGAACGCGCGCGAGTCTCATCTGGTAAAGCGAATGATTAGAGGCCTTGGGGCCAAAACGACCTCAACCTATTCTCAAACTTTAAATGGGTGAGATCTCTGGCTTTCTTGAATTATGAAGCCACGAGCATCTTCGAATCAGAGTGCCAAGTGGGCCATTTTTGGTAAGCAGAACTGGCGCTGTGGGATGAACCAAACGCAGAGTTAAGGCGCCCAACTCGACGCTCATGGGACACCATGAAAGGCGTTGGTTGCTTAAGACAGCAGAACGGTGGCCATGGAAGTCGGAATCCGCTAAGGAGTGTGTAAAACTCACCTGCCGAAGCAACTAGCCTTGAAAATGGATGGCGCTGAAGCGTCGAGCCTATACTCTGCCGTCAGTGGCAAGTGGGGCGGCAACCGGGAGCGGGCGTTAGTCTTCTCTCGCGTCGTCACGAAGCCCTGACGAGTAGGAGGGTCGCGACGGTGAGCGCAGAAAAGTCTGGGCGCGAGCTTGCCTGGAGCCGCCGTCGGTGCAGATCTTGGTGGTAGTAGCAAATACTCCAGCGAGGCCCTGGAGGACTGACGTGGAGAAGGGTTTCGTGTGAACAGCCGTTGCACACGAGTCAGTCGATCCTAAGCCTAGGAGAAATCCTATGTCAATGACGGCGTACAATATACTCGAGTGTCGAGAAATAATAATAAATATTATACGAAAGACACACGCCCGTCGGGCAAAAGGGAATCCGGTTCCTATTCCGGAACCCGGCAGCGGAACCGCATACAATTCGGGCCCTTGTAAGAGTGTTCGTCGGGGTAACCCAAAATGACCTGGAGACGCCGTCGGGAGATCCGGGAAGAGTTTTCTTTTCTGTATAAGCATTCGAGTTTCCTGGAAACCTCTAGCAGGGAGATAGGGTTTGGAACGCGAAGAGCACCGCAGTTGCGGCGGTGTCCGGATCTTCCCCTCGGACCTTGAAAATCCAGGAGAGGGCCACGTGGAGGTGTCGCGCCGGTTCGTACCCATATCCGCAGCAGGTCTCCAAGGTAAAGAGCCTCTAGTCGATAGAATAATGTAGGTAAGGGAAGTCGGCAAATTGGATCCGTAACTTCGGAATAAGGATTGGCTCTGAGAAGCGGGGCTGACGTGCCGGGCCTGGGCGAGGTGAACGGTCGGCGTTCTCGCGCCGGTCCCGGGATCCGAGCTCGGTCCCGTGCCTTGGCCTCCCGCGGATCTTCCTTGCTGCGAGGCTTCCGTGGCGGCGCAAGCCGTCGTGGTCGTCCTCTTCGGCCGCCATTCAACGCTCAGCTCAGAACTGGCACGGACTAGGGGAATCCGACTGTCTAATTAAAACAAAGCATTGCGATGGCCCTCGCGGGTGTTGACGCAATGTGATTTCTGCCCAGTGCTCTGAATGTTAACGTGAAGAAATTCAAGCAAGCGCGGGTAAACGGCGGGAGTAACTATGACTATCTTAAGGGAGCCGCCGATTTTGGTGGTTTCCATGCGCCAACCCCACCTCCTCGCGGTGAGAGTCGGGCAACGTCGGAACCAACCTCCCGGCGGCCAACGGGGCTCTGGCTTGGCGGAGCGGCAACGCTCCGTCCGGGTCCGTGGGGTTGCCAGCCCTTCGGGTCTGTTTACGGCAGGCACCACAAGAAGAGAAAAATATAATCTCCGGCGGCAGCCTCGGGCCGCCGGTCCTGTCGTCCCTTCGCCACCCTCTCCTGACCCCTCTCCAGGCCCTTCTCGTCGGCCGCCCGCTGGGCCACGACGCCGCCCAACACCCGCTGCCCCTGTCCCTGCTCCCCGCAAGCCCCGCAATTCCCATGCCCACACTGTGATCGTGCGTTCACCACGAAGACCGGACTCGGCCTCCATCGCCGACGTGCACACGAGGCCATCGTCAACGAGGAGGTTAACGTCGAGAGGGTTAACCGCCAATGGAGCGACGAAGAGAAGCGCATGATGGCGAGGGAGAAGGCGCTTGCCGCGAATCGAGGCGTTAGGTTTATGAATCAACATCTGTTAACCGTCGTCCCGAATCGCACCCTTGATGCCATCAAGGGGATGCGTAAGAACGGCGGTTACCAGCGCCTCGTCGCGACGGCACTGGAGGATCTGGCAGCCGCATCATCGAGCGAGAGCTCGTTTCTCTCGGCCGGTGGCTCCAGTCCTCCCGTCTCCCCTCGACCCATCGCCATCTCTCCCCACGGGTCGCCTGGCTCGCCTCCGCTTTCTCCATCTTCTCCCGGCTGGGGTGATGCGTACGGCAGTT